TCCTTTGATAACGTACGTCGGAAATACGGAGAACGTGCACGAAGCATAAACGAGTGAGCTTGAAACTTTCTTATTTTTCTGTGTTTACCAACGATAATATTTACATTATAATCGTCCGAGTGTTTTAGCAACTCGGTTAAGTCTTTGATAAGATTTTTTGTAAGCTCCGGCATGATTTTTAATAAGCGAGAATAATGGAAATAAACAAGTTTCTTTGCGCTACTGCTACTTATCATAAACAAAATTATGCAATACTATTTAGATTGCGTAATAATGAAGTAATTTTCGCACAAACTAAAATTTCCCACATGAAGTATTCAATATACATGTACGTAATGAATATTATTGTGGATCTATTGGATAATTATCAGATGGTGTGAACAAATGATAAGAACACGGTTAATATCGGATCAATGATTAGCGCTATTTAATGGTTTAAACTCTAACACATTAGAAAGGTAAAATTTGTATCATTAATAATTAATTTAACAGCGTAAAGTAACAACTGTTTACTGTTTGTTAAAAAGAATAGTGTCTGATTTGGTGTATTGCTTTATTATGAATTTGTAGTTTTCTTGCAAGACTCCTGATGTCTCTTTATTCTCTTTAGTTCATCTTTTTGATTTCATATGCTAAAATCGAAATCTGTTTTGCAACAACAAAGAAAAAAAAGATACCTTCATATGCTTCGTTTGGAACATACAAACTGATACTTGTAGCTTCATATAATAAGAATAAATGTATCTAGGGAATTGACATATTTATGTAACAATAACGATAACCACTTTTTTCAAATGAACTTTGCATTAAGTTAGTTACGTATCAACAATATAAATAAATTCATGCTGGATTTGATTTATTTGGATTCAAATACAAAATTTTCAACTTGCTAATATTGCTAACGCTAAATATAAACTAAAATTCATTAATACATGTATAACTAATTTTCATAGACCAAAAATCAAACTTAAGCCAAAAGAGAAAATCAAGGTCATTATTATCCTTTCAAAAATCGTATCAATGAGCAGAAATGAACCACTACTATAAAAAAGCCCAGTATCTGTTTCACTAGGTGCAGGTTCAACAACAGTCGTTTCAATAACTAATACTTTAGATAAAGGCACAACGGTCGTAATTATTTGTACGGAAGAATTATCCAAAGTGACAGTAATTAATTGTGTGGTGGAAGTTGCCAAAGTGGTTGTAGAAGATTTTACAGTGGTGATGGATTTTACAGTGGCGGTGGCTTTTACAGTTGTGATGGGATTAGGTGTTCTAATAGGACTTTGAGTTTGCTGCGAAGTAGGCAAATCATTCTTAGTAATTGTTTGTGTAGACATCTCATTTTTACTCTCAGTCCTAATGGTTTGCTGAACGGATTGATAAGTAACTGTAATTGTATTTTTAACACTTACTGGTGGTGGATTTACGTAAGTTGTTACTGTATTTACTGTATTTACTGTAGTTACTGGAGGTGGTGGTGGTTTTACTGTAGTTGATGGTGGTGTTACTGAAGTTGGTGGTGGTTTTACTGTACTTGGTGTTGGTGACGGTGGTTTTACTGAAGTTAGTGGTGGGCTTACTGAACTTGGTTTTACTGAAGTTAGTGGTGGGGTTGGTGTTGGTGACGGTGGTTTTACTGTAGCTAGTGGCGTTACTGAAGTTGATAGTGTTTTTACTGCCGACGACGGAACTGGCGTTGTCGTCGTTGTCATATTACTATAATTATGAGCAAATCAAAAAATTATGATCAATTTAAAAAATTATAAGTTTAACAAGTTACAAGTTTAACAAGTCATACATACCGTTGGGCTAAAACATTGACAGTACATATTAACAAGATTATTATTATTATTTTGAGATTATTCATTTTGAAAATTCGATATTTTTTAGTTAGATTGTTAGTTTGGTATAATTTTTATGTACTGTATTTATATTCTCCAAGCTCAATGCTGTTAATAGTAATCTTGGAAACTTCTAAATAGAAAGAAGGAAATAGTTTATTTTATTTTTAGAAACACTTGAAGTACAAGATAAGTTGAATAATTGTCATTTTAGTTCTTGGACTAAGTGCAGTATGATGAATAGAACATACACGTGTGTAAAGGTACAGTGACCCTCGTTAAATTGGAAACAAAAATTTGCCTGTTTTATCGAATATCTGGTTAAAGCTTATTATGTTTTTTCTAAATAAATCTTGTATCGGTATACGGGAAATTAAAAATTCGAAATTTCTTCACAATAGCGATAAGATACGTAACACAGTTCTCGCGTCACTGTGTACTTAGCGTTAGTAACGGTAACAGTGGCGGTAAATCTGGTTTTTTGGTGAAACAATCTTTAACTTTAATCTACAATGAAGCCAAAAATAACTACCTAACGCTAATGGAAAATCGATTATAGATTTAAAAATGTCGGATCTCAAGTTAGTGACCCCTGATTATCCTATGTATTTCATTTCGTTTTACGTAATCTGTTACAATAATTAAAAATTGTCTTTAATATTTTTTGTTTAAAAGATTTCTTAAATTTACACACAACCATTTAACATATTAATTCGATTCAAAAGAGCTTATTTATTAAGTCAAAGTAAAAAATGATTAGCTTTTCTAGTATTACTATTTTTGATGTTGCAAAGTTTTTTTAAATTGTGTATATAAACTTAAAATAGAACAAAAGAGAAAATGGAAATCATTATTGCATTTGAATAACTTCTATTGATCATTTTGCACTTGAGCATTTTTGAATACTATTCAGCCTCTCTATAGATTATTTTTGAATTTGCCAAAATGGCTGTAATTAATTTTACGAGTAGTTTCTGTTGATATACAAAATTGAATCTGTATATCGATACCTTATAACTATGCGTAGAACCTCCAATGAGTTGATTCCAATGAGAAATCTGGAAAAATATTACTTGAAGATTGTGCTGTATAGGCGTAGGTGCAGAATTGAAATTGGTTTTTGTGCTATTATAGGAATATTCCTCGATTTTGATTTTTATATGGAATGAGTGCAGTAAATTGTATTATACATTCGACAACGTTTTTATCGCACTCATCCCATATGATTAAGTGGCCAGCATTATTCTTACCAATAGTATTTTTAGATGTTGATGATAGAAACCGTTATTCGTTGTATCAAGACTAGAGCTCCGAATTTTGACCCGTAACTCAGGCTACTCGATGACCCGATCCCTATTAGGAGCTCCAATCAGGATTATACTTTAAATAAAAGTAAATGGATTTATAATTCTTAAATATAAGGTAAAGAAGGTATTGTGGTGAGTAAAAAAACATGCTTAGAACGCAAATAATAAAGAGATGAAATATGGTAATAATATTGTCAATATGCGCTTAAGACTTGTATATATTTATATTTTAAAATATATTTATATTTTAAAATATATTTGTATATGCAGATAATATTTGAAGAAGAATCACACTCTTATTTTACATGATTTTTTTTCGATACTTGAAATACTTCATACTCATCTATTTTGAAATGTTGTGTTTTATTTACTAATAATGGGGATATGCCGAAATGTGTATTAACCCATAAATTTTGATTTTGATAGTTACAACATTTATACCAGCTCAAGGTATTTTGGTTACATTTGTCACTGATAAATAAATCATAATGAAAATAAGGACCATGAACTGTTGTAACCGGTGGTCTTGTAGATCCGTTTTGAGTGTTGTGTGAAATTTTTGCACCATTAATATCTTTTCCATCATTGAAGGAAAAAATAAATTCATCAGACGCAACCGAGCGCCAATCATACGCTGATTCTGTTATTGCCGTCGGCATAGTAACCGTGGTGTTTTCGTCCCAATTGTTAGGGTTGTAGCCGCCA